CCCTGCCGACAGGGCAGCATTGGGAATGAGCTTCCACACGGCGGTGCATGCAAAGTGGTGTTGATTCTTGGCGACATTGTATTCCATTCATGGATTGTGAGGCTTTTGGGATTTATTCGATCTTGTCGGCTGTCGGCGTGAACTCCGCGCTTTAACCTTGCGACCTTCCAATTTCATCTTGATTCCTTGAGCATGCCACGCCTTACAGGGGGCGCTCCCTTTCGCTTCATCAACTACCAGATACTCTACAGTCTTTTCTGTGCTGTTCTGGGCCGCTCGTTTGCAGCCAGGCGAGACACTGGCAGCCCCCTGCAAGGAACATCCTCCTCTATATAATAGCTAAGGACTTGTGATGTTTCGGTCCCGAGCATGGACAGTGTGCTTGGCGGAAGTTGAGCCACAGGAGAAACAAAGCAGCTTGGTATCGTGAAGATTCGTGAAGTTGTTGGCAATCGCAGTGACTCTGGATCACTTTGGAAGCTGGAATTTGTCTCCGTTTGGGAACTGTTGAGTTTGCCAGTCAGAAGCTCCGCAACACTGCCTTGAATGAGGTGCCCAGCATAGATGTCTTTGAACTAAGGCATTTCGGAAGAACCAACCAAGAGCCCGAGTAGCTCCCCCTCAGGCCGAAGAAGGCCTAGAATGCACTTGCTTTGGAATACAAGCTTCAGGGCTTATCCACGTGACTCCGGTCATGATGCTTGGAGTGGAGAATCAAATGTAAATACTCAGCACTGACAACTCTTGCCTTTTTGGATTGACAGGCTGCTTGGCATTATCAAGGCGAAGGAGTGCAAAACTTGATTTGGAATATCTTCAGCTTGAAGTAACTAGAAGCTACTAGGTGGAGGCCATCGCTAATAGGTTGGAGGCCATCGATACTAGTAACAGGAAAGCTTTCTAGGAACCAGTGCGCAGGGAGATCTGACGGACAAACATTCCAGGGTTCGCTTCGTGACCAGGATTTTCCTTGGCTGGCTGCCATTTATTTGGTGCCCATTGCCTTTTGCTTCGCGTGGCTGGGGAATTGGACTGTCTATGCCAACAGTCTTGGGCTTTCAGAGCAGGAGGGGGTTGCGAGCAATGGGGTAAATTTGTGAAGAGATTAAAGTCGTATATCACCAAAATTTGTCGCAAAGCTCTAGGTTACCAGATGTTACCAGGCAGCGAGCTTGCACTATTTCATTCATTTGATTCATCCCAAAAATCACAAACACTTACATACGATCACCAGCAGTTGTAGAAGGAGATGGGGGTCCTCCCTAGAGGAAACACCAAACATAGGCATTTATAACCACACGCATTTTTGTATCACCACACACTTTTTTATGTGTTTGTGTGCCACTCAAAGGCCAAGACCCGGATTGGCCTGTCAGTGGGCTTCTTCTCGGCGGCGGGCCGTTTGATCTTTGGGATCCTCGGAGATTGGACGCCCAAAGGAAGAGGCCTGGGGCTTCTATTCTCTGACAGACTCTGACTGAAGTCAAAGGCAATCGATTCTGACATGTTTGAAAGAATTCCGAGCTGTTTTGACACGCGTTCACTTGTGTCTGACGCATTGAAAAGCGCTCATTGACATAGATCAGTCGCAAGTAAGAGACTCCTCCCAAGGTCTTGTTGGTCTGGAGTTGGGCTTCACCACAAGCCTAGGTGCGGAACCGCACATTACACGAGTCACACGCAGCGGGAATCACCGACCCGCATGGCCAAGCATTTTCAGCGCAGGATTTGGCATGAGTCTTCAAGGGTTTATCTCCAGAATCAACGGTGGCAATGTATGGGCTGTTCTGAATTTTGGAGGTGCTGCATTGCTATCAATAGGCATTGCAGGTCGCTTAGATGAAGCAATGACCACCAATGCCGCAAAGCTTGGCCTTATATCCAGACAGAGTAATGGAGATGCTTTGCGGTGCTCGGGCTGTGCCCGGCGCACTACAAACTATCAGATATCGAAGCAAGAACCCCACAATACTTCCCCAAAACCTGTTTGCATGGTCCTTCCCCAAGGGCAGCTCTAGCAGTTCTGAGTCTATTCCCGCTGCCTGTGGCATGAATAAAAGCCGGTGTTGACCTTCGGCACTGATCAGGACTAGACACACAACTAGAAATCAATGGTTTTTCAGTCACTCTCACATTGACATGTAAAAGTTGTTGCAACTTCACTATTACAGTAATGGAAGAGCTGGGTGGAAGCCGCGACGATGCTGCGTTCTGCTTTCTCCGTGTGTTGTTTACCCTGTTGCAAGCTGCGCCTTGGGGTCCATGTTGCAATTTCCAGCCCTGTTGCCACTGCTGCTTTGGAACTCTATGCTACGTATGTTGCGGCACAGGAGGGTTGGCCTTGACCTGGCGTCTTTTGACTGATGTTCTAGTATACATATATAATATATACAGTATATGTGTATATATTCTAGTATTGTCCAGCAGTGGTGTTCCCATAGCGTAAGTTTCAAGAGTAGAGGGGGTCACGGGACACTCTACACACACACATATATATATAATTATGCATAATGCAACATTTGTTGCTACTCATGAGAAGAAACTTTGATATCGATTTGCCAAGCGGAGGCTTGTTTGTCGGATCTTTCATTCTTCTGGGTCGTATTTTGGCAGCAAGACGTGCAAGATTGGGAGAACCTCGAGAACTCAAACCACCCAGTCTGTCATGCCTTTCTTTTGAGATGTTTTAGTCACGGAGTCGCTCAAAGTCCCGGGTGCGCAGAGTTACTTTGAAGAGCCGTCCGCTCACCGGGTCAGACCAATCCGTGCTCGCCAAGTTGATCCATGGACATTCTTCGAGCCAGCTATGAGGAGACTTGGCTGTACAGCATGCTTACCTGTTGAATGTAGTAATAGTATGTATATAATAGTTATATATATATATATGATGAGAAGTGTGGATCAGCTAAGTTGCCATTCATACACATGTTCAACAATGTTTGAGTTCCAGCCACATCTCCATCTTCAGAGCCCTTCATTGGATTGGCGGGAAGGCGATGGACGGCGTCGCTGCCTACCATCGACACGAACCAATCTTTGAGCACAAGATTACTGAATGGCACGGCATGGTAATTGTATGTTGCGATCCTCGGCTTTGTTTGCTCCCTGCTTAGGCTTCAGTCCTTTGGTTTTGGAGGTGTGCTGTGCTTGGCTGCAGTTGCCTTGCGCGCGAGCTTTAGTGGCGAGGACGGGATGCTCAGCATGTCCTAAGCAGCTGTGTGATTAATTAAAGAACACATTGTGCCAGGACTTGGGCACTGCATTTGGCTTTCTCTATCAGATCTTGACAGCAACTCGGGGCATGTGAAATTAGATGTTCTTGCATGGTACTCGTAGCCGGTTTGTTTAGTTGGACGCCAATGTAGTAGAGCAGGCTTGTGCAGTTGACAACCCTTTTGGTACCGTTTTCGGATGCTTTTGCACAGCCGTCAGCCGTACTTCCTTGACCAACTCATCGCATAGCTCACATAGCTCATAGCTCAGACGGAGGATCTCCTGATCCTGCAATGCCAATCAGTGACATCCCAGGTGACTTTTATGTTCTTCAACTGGGGCGCATCGCCGTCCAGCAGCTGTGGACCTGAATGCTTCAAGGCCATGGGAAATCTTTGGTGCGTCTAGGTTTGTTCTTTTTTCCCAGCCAGCATTTCTTGAGGGTCGCACCAATTGCACGACCAGCAGAGAAAGTCGTTTGACCATTTGTCTGCTGTCAGATGCAATCCAAGAGTTCTTTTGCATGTTAGCTGGGTCCTTTGAGCAAGAACTGCCTCAGCAATAGATGCTATGGGCTATGGTTAGCATGTGATACTTCTGATGCTCCAACAAGCAAAAGGCTCGTCAGTGGCAACCCCTAGCGGCCCAGCAGGAAGCACATAAGAATATATTTGCTGTCCTTATCCTTGAAAGATCCTTTCCTGAGGGCTTCTTCGCAGTGAGCGGGCTACTGCACGCAGGCCATACCGCTTTCGGGCAGGGTCTTGCAAGTCAATATATATATATATAGAGAGAGAGAGTCTGTAAGAAATATATAATTACATACTTACGTTATCTTCCGTTGACTTGTGGAAGAAGAATTCGCAAGGACCTTTGTCGTGGCCAGTGTCAAAGATGGGTGCATCCATGCTTTCTAGACTAATTAGGATGTTTTGTGCTTGCACTCATAGAGCGGCGGCTGCGGCGGCGGCGGCGGCGGCGCAGGTTGCATGTGCTGGGGTGCGCGGCGCTTGCTGCGAGCATATTCCACCACACCAGCCGTTTGAGATGCCACAGTTAGTTTCTGCGGAATTATCCAGGTTCATAGAATCTTGAACATTAGCTTGGTCAATGCCTGAGGCTTTAAGGCCCGACGGCCCATTGCGCTACCCAATTCTTGTGCAGAAACCTCTCAGCGTGACTATCCTTGAGACCAACTTAATCGACCCCCTTTGCGCTACGCTACGGATGTCAAGATTGCCATTCTGGAGGTTGAGGAGTTGTGTTCAATCCAAGAATGGATGATGCACACCCTCTCTGCATTGGCACCTTCGAAAATACCATTCAATACCCGAGATCTATCCTGAGATTTGATTTTGCGAGCTAGTGACCTAGCTGCATGCTGCCTTGTGAAAATGTGCCCATGATTCCATGATGCTTGCAGAGTTACGAATGGATGCTCGCGGAAACCGCACGTTCACCGCCAAACGGCGGCAGGTGAAGGTGGTGGTTCGGGCCTCATGCTGAAGGCAAACGCGACACCCAAGTCTTGTGGCCATTTTCTTGCTGCCAGCTCTCTAGGACCGGACACACAAGCATCAGTCTGCAATGATATGCAATGATCAAGGTAGGTAGGACATTATTGGCCACTGGCGCACAGGGGGACCTTTGACTTCGTAAAGTGCATAGCCATGGAAACAACAGCATACAACTCTAATTAGCATGTTCCCTTCGGAAAGGCATCACATTGAAGCATGCAACCCGCTGGACACCTTGAGAGACACTTTACATGGGTCACACCGGCCGAGGTGAAGAAATCATTTCCTATAGATGAGGCTCAGCCAGCCGCTCAGCCTGCCGCTCAGCCGAGCAGGACGAGGCGGGTTGGTGACCAACCGAACTGGATTCTCAGACAGCACAGAAAGAATCGCTCTTGGGCCGAAGGCCGGCGCCTGCGAAGCCGGTGAAGTCCAAAGAGGAGTGCTGCAACTTTGCCGAGCTGAAGCTGAAGCTGTGCTTGTTCATATTCCGCCGTTCGCATCCGTTCCCTGTGCCGTTCCACCGTTCTCCACCAGCGAACTCAAGCGATCGGCAGGCGGCGCCACCCTCGTCTTATTACAGTGATTCTAGGACGGTTTCTTCCACCGATTCTGTGTGATTCACTTGCGCTTGCCAACTCCTCGCGGTGAAGTGGGATCTACTGCAGGACGGATGTCTATAGTTCAGAATCTGAAGGCGGGCACACCCTTGCGCGGCTGATCTTTCTCGTGCCTAGTGTGGGATGTCGCATGGATAGCTTGCGGGTTGCACCTCGCCGCTTCTGAGCCGTTTGGTGCAGGTACTCCACGAGACAGGCTTGGATTTGAAGGGGGGGACGCCATGTGATTTCCCCTTTGCTGTGCTTCGCTCTTGCGAGTGTTTCCTGTTTGCCACGATTTTTGGCAGGCCTAACCTTCTGCAGGCTGCCAAGGCCAGGGTTACAGCTCCGGTCCAAGAGATGTTTGCCGAAGCGAGTTGAACTGGATTTTATGGATTCGCCATTGCCTCAATAGCCAATGCGCAGATCTCACGTGTGACAACCAATCATCGTGCAATCCAATGGGCCACATCCCTTGAAATCTGAAAGGCATGTGAGGTGCCTCGAGAACAACAAAAAAACACATCACAAGGGAGTTCAAGGGAGGGTGTTTTTTACATATGTTCTTTAACGTTTTTGGGATATGTTTTTTCAGGTTTTGCTTTCGCTGCTTTTCTGCTTCTGTTTTTTTGCTTTTGTAGTATTTTTCTAATGCTTTTCGTGTTTTTTAAATGCGTTTGTCTTTGTTGCTTTTCTGCCTTGGCAGCTGTTTTCCTTTCCCTTTATGTGTTTGCTTTTGCTGCTTTTTGCTTTGTGTATCTTTGTTTGCTTTTTGTTTTTGCTACTTGTTTTGCATTTTAAAGTGTTGATTGTTTTTGGTTGCTCTTCTGTTTTTGCTTTTGTCGTTTTTTTGCGCTTGACATGTCGTATGGCTTTTGGCTGTTTTTGCTATGTTGCTTAGTGTATTTCATTTGTTCTTGTAGCTTCTTGCATTGTTTTGGGCAGCTGTGTGTTGTTTCTTGCTTTTGGTGTTTTTGCATTTTCTGCTTTTGTTGTGCTTTTCTGTATCTTGGTTGATGGTTGTGCTTATAGACAATATTTGTGCTTCTCTCTGCTATGCTTCCCGCGAAATTGAATTTGTGAAATGTCGACCACGCAGCAACCTATTTGAAACCTGCACTATTAAATGAATTTTACAAGATACGACAGCTGTTTCTCTGCTAAGTGCACCAAACTGCTGTGATTAGCTGGGAATACATCTGAAACCTGCACTATTCCAATGTATTTTGCCAGCTACGACAGGTGTGTCTCTTCTCTGCGTGTGATTATATAGCTATAACATAGGAATTAATCTGAAAACTACACTTTTCCAATGTATTTTGCCAGCCAAAGCATCTGTGGCTCTGCTAATAGCACCAAATTGCTGCAATTAGCTAGGAAGTAATATGAAACCCGCACTATTCCAATGTCCTTTGCCCGGTTCTACAGCTTTTCTCTTTAAAGGACACCCAATTGTTGTAATTAGCAAAGAAATGTGAGCCGGAGGATTTTGAACACAATTCCCGAAACAAGAAATACAATACAAACTATATAAAAGTACACCCATTCACTAGTCACTAGTCGAGCTTGCCCGCCAGAGAGAGAGAGAGAGAGAGAGTTGAGCCTGCACGTGAGAGAGAGAGAGAGAGTTGAGCCAACAGTGCCTTGAACTGCAGGCGGGGGATTTGCAGCAAGTGAGTTCCTTGGCATATCAAGTCCATTTTAACATGGGAATTTGTTGTAGAGTCAGTTGGACACTAGATGGAAAAGGAGTCTGCCGGCCGGAGATGCTGGAGAAACTAGACGCTTGCCAATTTGCTGCACACATGCATGTAGGGACGGAAATGGTGAGTCAGTGAGGAGGCTCTCGCCAGTTTATTGTAGCCTCCTAGTAGCGATGCCCTTTGCTCCTAGTAGCGTTCTTGCTCCTAGTAGTAAGGCCAGGAGCCCCCAGCATTCTTGCTCCTGGGATTTGGGATCAGAGCTTTCACGGGGTGTGCTCACATGTGCTCATGTTGTGCCAAGAGAGTGAACCGCTTAGGCCGCTTAGGTGCGATGTGATCAACAGAGAGCGTGTATTACTATTATTGTTATTGTTATTACTACTATATATATATATATTTATGTTTACTTTTGTTCTTAATGGTTTTTATTTGATGTTTTTTGTGTCCTAAACATTTTGAAGTTTCATCGTTCATCCATTGGACATGTTGGGTTTGATGGAGGCATTTTGTGGACCAGAGGCTGCAAAGAGGGACTGGACAACTCCATGTTCGATTGTCTCAGGCTAGGCGAACTAGTTATGCTGCAGCCATCCGATGTGCAGCGATTTGTTTAGCCGCATGTTCATTTAGACTGAGGAGTTGTGGGTGCTGGTATATGAATCCAAAGGGTCTTACTCGTCTTACTAGGGTGGGATAATTGAGGCACCAAAACGGATGCTCATACTTTTCTTATGTTGCAGCAGGCTTCAGATCACTTTCTGTTTCGAACGGTCTTCCTAACATGGATAGTCCGGGCCGGTCCACTGCGGTCCTTCCATTCTGTATAGGCCCTTTGTGGAATCCACCAAACCACACCTCAAATCGGTTGGCGGGTACACCACCGCGCCGGCGTGGCGTAAGGAGACCACCTGACGCAGTGGGCAAAGGAAGAATCTATGCATCAAGATGTGCCCACAAACACGTCATAGAGGATGGATCGGCAGGTTTTTTAGTCTGTGCGAATAAACCCTTTTCTAACATTGTCGGTCTACGGAGCTGTACTTGGGGTTTAGTTTTGATTAAACCCTTTTTGGTGGAGTAAGGGCCCTCACTCGATCACAAAGGGTTTACATCCTGATCCAAACCCCAAACCCAAGGGTATGAATATCAATCGACCAAAAAGGATTTAATCAAAACTAAACCCCCAATACAGCTCCGTAGACTGACAACAGTAGAAAGGGGTTTATTCGCACAGACTAGACACACTTTGCCGATCCCTCCTCTAACATGTTTGTGGATACATCTTGATGCATAGATTCTTCCTTTGCCCACTGCGTCAGCTGGCCTCCTGACGGCTGTGCCGGGGAAGGGAGTTCGCACGGGCCTCGGGCCGGGCCGGGGTCAACGGTACACCCGGCTATCCATGGCCTAATGTCCACTAGGATCCATTAGGTATTTAATGTCCTAATGACTTTGCCAGCCAGTGGGAATGGTGTGAACAAGGGGCAAGGTTATGCAGGACCATCGACGCAAGTCGGCTTTCTTTTTTCTTCTCCGAGGCTCGATATTGAAAGGAAAAGTGGAGGCCTGCTGAGGGTCACACCACTTTGTGATAGCGCTTAAACACGTTTGCACAAAATGGAGTGACGGGCCGCCATTCAGGTCAGCAGCCTTACTGCAGCGCTGCATGGGGCTTGCTCAGAGGGTCATCGGAAGCTGCTACCAGTTCTATGCCGAGCAAAGGCCAATGTGAAGCATGGCAGCAGAGCTGAGCAGTAGTGGTTCCAGGACGGTGCAGAGTCGTTCAACTTCAATGTGGGTGACCCGTGCCTTCCTTGTCAAACCTTTCAGGCTAAAAAACCCTCTGAAGGTCCAGAATTGCAGAACATCCAGAAGCAATCCTGCCTTTCTTCCACTTGGCTCAGAAGCTGGTGGACATTCTCCCCAAGTTCGAAACATCCAGACTGGAGCTATTGCAAGTGGGCCTGCCCACAATAGGCTTCTTTTGTTCATCATGTTCACCGGCCGGCACATCATACCCGAGTGCTAGAAGCTCATAGCCGCTGAGCCGCTGATCTCGGAGACTCACCACTTTGAGTGACCGGCAGCGAGACCCATTCACATTCGAGACCCAAGAGCGCGGCTCTTGCCTGTTTCAAACGGATCATCAACCTTTTGTTGTACAGCTTTGTCACCAGTCTTGTTAACCACACTTCCGCTGGTACCCACCACAGCCCGATGCCTGTGTGTTTGCGTGCGTGCGTTCATGAGAACAGTACAGAATGACGTGGCACTGTAGGAACATGTGGGACACTTGGTGTTTCTCAGCCATTGTGGTGGTGCGGCTGAGCGGCGCCGTCATGGCACCACTTCAACCTTTGTCTTTCCACAAATTCATCCATTCTCGAAGTCTGTGCCCTTGTAACCTCACAGCAGCCTCACACGAAGCTGAAAGTGACACCCACATGCGGCATGTTCAGAACAGGAAGCTTCAAAGCTGTTACCCAACCCTGTGGCAATATGCGTGGCTTCCTTGCTGTTACCCAACCGCAAGGAACGGTCTTGATTCCAGCGGACTCACACCTTTGCACGTGGCAGCTTTCCGTGGCGACAACCCAGTGCCTCGGTCCATCAAAGGAATTGTTTACGTGGATTTGCCCGGCAGCTGTTCAACTGAAGATTGCATTGCTATAGTTATGAGCAGCTGAGGTAGTGCAACAGCTTTGCCAGCTGGGCGCCAATGTCAAGGCAGTTGATGAGGAAGGTTGGACGCCGCTATATGCCACTGGGCAGTGACTGATTTGAATGCTGACTCCTGCAAGAAGATCTCTTCGACATGAAAAAGGCACACACACACAGGTGACTCTCCAACATACAACATCAATAATATCATATCAATGTCATTGTGTTTGGTGGTGCAGCTATATAACATACTCATTTCGCCCACAGTAACGAGCAGTTCTTCTATCCTGAGGTCTCAGCTGAGACCTCCCTGGCGTGACCCCCACGTAAAAGCTTTCTTGATGTACCATGAGAGGAGAACATGGGCCCCTTTTGGCAGGCAAAAACTGTAAACACATGGGAACCACGGCAATTGCCGATGCCAGACGGCCACCCGTGCTGATCCTTTCATCACCCTCCAAGGTTGTTGCAGCCTTCGGGGGCCAAGAAGATGTCTTCAAGACTTTGCTTACTGCAAAGTCCGATGCAACAGAGCTGCATAGATTGAGCACGTGACGTCGTCATTTGCCGACATTTTTCGGCATTATCGTGCCTACTGGAGCATCTAGGGCTATCATCCTGTCGTGCTGTGTGAGGTAAACTTCACAACTCCGGATGGGACCACGATTGCCATGGCAGCTGAACAGAAAGGCTCCAGCCTTGGAACGTGGACATGTAGGAAAGGTACTTCTGAGCATAGTTAAGAGAGTTAGGAGATGATCATGCATTCTGATTTGTAAAAAATACTGTACCTCCTTGGATGTCAATGTCTACCCTCTTCAATAGGTGGTTTGACTGAGTTGAGCCCACTGCTTGTTGAGTTGTTTGATTTAGTATGCCATAATGACATAATGAAACTTCAAGTTGTTCAGTTTGGGTGCGTTTACAGTAGTCTGCAGGCTTTACTCAGCTCCTCAAGCTCCTGTGATGTCAATCGGCCGTTACTGCATCTCAACTCTGCCGGCTAGTCCATGAGAGATTGTGCCAGCTAGTCTTAGTGGCCAGAGGGATTTGACGTCATCAAAAACCCAGGTTAGCCTTCGCCTTTTTGAGAAGCCTGCGAAATTGCAAACGATTGATTGACCGGCATTGTCGAGGTGTAGCTGTGAATATCAGCTAATGTTTTGGCATGGGGTGGAAAGTTTTGCCACAATGTTAGTGAGATTCTTGTTTGAAGCTTGGCCAGTACAGCTTCCCATTCTTGCCAACCCTGTGCCTGCTAATGTCCCCGGTGGTAGCTCCAAAGCTGAGTGCACACCTCGCTGAAAAGCGCAAAGAAGCCAGAAAAGAGACAAACTGCTGCTGTAGTAATGATTCAGTTCCAAGCTGTAGCATGCTTAGCATGCTGATGCATGCTGGGTGTTTGAGACCGCAGAAGACTTCATAGTAACTCGTCCAAAAGGACGTGCCCTTAAGTAAGCCAAACCCGTGACGACTGGACACAACGGCCAAGTCACTTTCAGGTTCATTCAGTTAGCTTCCGAGTCCAGTCGGGATTCGTAGGTATGTTGAACATGCCCAGAGCCGGAAGTTCACGTTGAATCCCCAGGCTATTCTTCATGAGCTGAGAGAGCCGCAGCCACTGCCCCGAGATTTTCGTGTCACCCTTAGTGCATCGCAGCACTCGGAGCTCAAAGAAATGCGCCTTGGATTTGTGACCTGCACGGATCCAGTGAGCTAAACTGTTCTCCTTAAGGGCGAACGGACACACCACATCAGCCAACATTGTACTTATTTCCTTGGCCCACATATTTGCGCAAACATGTGTGCATTTCATCATACTTATCATGTTTCGATCGTGGTTCCTGCCCATGCCAGGTCATTCATAGAAATTAGACGTGCATTCAGATATGTCTACAATTATATACAGAGGTGTCTAATATGAACCTTCGCTTATTTGCAGTTTGTGGCTCTCTCCAGGTCATCGTTGCTTTTGCAATTGACTTGTGATTCACATGCAGAGGCCGTGCAGGAAGGCCCAGGTAAGGCCAAACCGACCAAATCAACTACTTTTGGTTTTGGGAAACAAGGGTGTTTCGGGCGCGATTATATAAGTTGTAGCAGTTACCCGGAAGCCGTTCTCGCACTTTGGATTGCAGATCATGAGGAGAGCATTCTGGTCTTTGATCTGCAGCCAAGTCTTTCCCTGAGGTTGTCTTGTGGGAATGTTTGCCCGCATCTTCCTGTAACATTGGATGTAACATGATATAATACAACTGCCTTTCAGCCTGTCGATACCGTGGCGGTTGGCACAGAGTGGCGGTGTCCTGCCGCTTGGGCAGACCGTGATCAGGTTGAAATGCAGATGGTGCTCCGACATCCCAAGGAAGGAGGTTAAAAGTGCTGCCTCCGACTGGATCGCAGTTGGAGTAGAAGGGTGAATGGCAATGTTTACCTGACATTGACAGGTAAACTACATTGGTATGAAGAACACGACTGGATGACCCCTGCTGGACCAAGAGGAAACAACAAGCTCAGAGACCCAAGTTCTTTATAGTCCTTTTTATCGCCTCAGAGAACCCTTGGACAACATGGCTAAAGCTCAATGCATATTGAGATTCTCAGATTTTTCTGGCTTCAACCTGATCAGAGATCCTAGATTTTCCAACTATCACGGAATCTTGGACATTTTGGCTTGCAGCGGGGTCCTTCATCTCACGATGTCCACTGGCTGGAATGCTCCCCGGCTGAGTCTCAGGCGTGAGGGAACATGTTGGCCATAGGTTTTATGATAAAACAGCTGTCAGTAGCCTCAAAAGGCCTCCTAATTTCTTGAAGAAACGTTGCCCGTCGACGCTTGGACCATCTTGGACCTTTACGGCGGCACTCACATCCATTCTGCCATTGTCTTCGCACGTTTGGCCTTCTCCGGAGGCCGTCTCTTTCACCCAAGCCTTCTTCTCGGACAGCCTCCACATTTTATGCAACTTGGCGGACTAGGCACATCCAAATCACATGTGCCACTGTTGTACGCCAGTCTTGGTGCTTTACTGAGGAGAGGAGCCCTCTTCAGTCCTGGAGCATTGCCTCCCACAGTGAATGCAACTTGGGAGAATTGCAAAAATGGTTGGAGGCACAAAACAGGAGGCCCATGAAACCCGCGGTTGTTGTGTTTGATCGTTGATGCCAGCAGGTTGGAGCGCGCACACACAGATGATACATAATATACGCAACAACTGGTGGTGCATAAAATGGGGCAACACATGCCCAGGCAACACAACCATGGACGCGTCCCAGAGGTATCTGGAGCCAGTAACACAGGCGGGAATATGGGTTGATGCGAGCTGACCAACGCTAGTAGTGTTTCTTGATTGATCCATTCTTGGTCACGGTCTGCGGCCAAGTCATTTCAGGCAGCTGCAGTTTATGCGCCGCAGCTGGGGCGTGGCAGCCAAGCACAACCCAGGTGCAGGAGTGCAGCCAGCTATTTTTTGATATGTGTTGTCCGATTTTCTCCTACTCACATGCTTGGTTCCTGTTCTCCGGACAGATGCACCAGCCCTGACTTCCCACGCCATGAAGGACGGCGAGCCGTGAGCGGGAGTGCGACACCGATTCGCTGAGTTAATTTGTCAACTACTTGCGGGAACTCTTCCAGTGGGTCCATGGTGATCCTCCTCACTTTCAACAATATGGACACATTATATATACAATACTTATTTGCAACATTTTGCAACAACTCATTGCGCTCACAACGGGCCCTTCCCTCCCCTTATACATACTATTGTAGCCAATATGCAGTTATATAATAGTCCCAGTCTCGGTTCGGAGGACAACGTGCCTCGCGTGCGGGATCAGAGGCCTCATCAGTTGCTCGTAGCAGCACTTTTGAGGAGTGGCGATGTTGATCAGATTTGAGCAGTCAAATTGTTGAGCAACCGTTCTGCCATGCCATCATGAAGGCTGGATTCTTTTGTGCCCATGGTGATTTTTCATTGCAGATTGTTGGACGGGTGTCAAGTGGTCCATGTGAGGATTTGGGGTTTAAACATGTTATACAGACACGATTCCAACTGCACCAGCCATTCAAAGCGTTCAACCTGCAGCCATTTCAGCCCTTTGGATCCCTTGCAGTCCTTGCAGCTATGCCGGTGTGCAGGCCAAAGGCACGGCTGGAACGCCGGCGCACTGATGGGGACCTGAGCTTCCATCTTGATTTGAAATCTCCCCAGGGTCCAATTTCTTCGGCCATGTGTAAGGAACGCAAGGATCGTCAGAGACAGCTCCCATCTTTTGAAGTACCACGAGGGCTTTTGGAGTCCCCCGCCACTTCCACCCCTGCAAGCCCATTGGCGAAGATGGACATGGTCACGCCAGTCACGCTCAAGAAGTCCAAAAGCTGCTTGCAACGCAGGGCGACTTTGCCCGCACTTGACATCACCAGTGAAGCTTTGATGCTTGCACGACAGCTCCATTTAGACTTTCACGAAGTGAAGTTTGTTCTACAAGAGCTTAGAGATGAAGGCCTTCAGAAGCTGCCCAGTGGTGGCTTAGATGAAAAGGCCTTCCAGGAGTGCTTGCGCCGCATCTATGGTGGGGAGCTCAAGAAGGGCATGGTGGAGTCAGCCTACAGGGAAAGCCAGGCAGCTGACGGGCCAGTGAATAGCGAGCGCTTTTTGAAATGGTACAGGGATCACATGTTCAACCTTGAAGTCTCTAAACCGCAGGGGCATGGTCAAAGCAGTGGCTTGACTGTAGGTCTTGCAAAGAAATATGACTGCTCAGTCCTAGACTTGGAGAAAGTGAAGGAGAAGTTTGATTTCTTTGATCTCGACCATTCAGGGTACATCGATCCCTACGAGTTTGAGAGCATGATGTGTCAATTGATGCGCTGCTCCAGCAAGTCTGACTTGCCAAAAGGTCGCCTCCAGCGGTTTTGGAAAGAGGCTGACAAGAACGGGGATGGAGAAATTGACTTTGAGGAGTTTTTGGAGTGGTACATCAAGTACTTTGGCACATCCTATTCCAATGGGCCAATGGATGCCTTTTATGCATCATTCATGCCAGATGTCCAGCGAACGCGTTGCCTGGAAGGATTTGCCTCAACTATCGACATTCAGATTCAGTGAGGCAGACCATCTCATGGTCTGGGAATGCTATGTACAGGTTGCCATGTTCATTCTTGGTGTGCGGTATGGCTACAATTTTGAACCTGATCACCTTCAATGAATCAGGGTGAGCGAAGCCGCCCCCACTGCCCTGTAATGATCTCTGATTAGGTGGGTTGTTTTGAAGCAAAGAGTTTTTTTTCTTCACTCTTTGCGATTTCCTGTGCAGAGCCACAGGGGTCAATGTTTTGAGATGCTGGCCTTCAGTCCGCCAGCTACCAGAGGACATGCCGGGGTAGCTTGTATATTTTGTTGCTACTCATGCCTGCCCTGATGTTCAATTTTGCAGATGCAATCAGCAACTTGCTATTCGCATGCCTTTCCAGAGGGGCTGCCAAATGCCAGCCACTGTGCGTGCGTTTTTTCAATTGTCTTGGGCAGCTGAAGCATTTTGGGCCTGCAAAAGGCGTTGGCTTGATGCATGCACATTAAAGATCATTAAAGGAGTGCCATGATGTAAGATGTGCCCGATCGCAAGACTCTCCCGCAGCAGCGTCTCGCCTTAGACACTCCAGGATGCCACAGCTTTTGGCACAGAGGCTGAGATTCATTGGCCAAGCCTGCCTCCAGGTGATGGGGAGATTCACGATTGGCAGCCTAGACCAATCCGAAGAATACAAAAAAGACACATACGGACTACGGACTCACTATTTTTGGTTGCATTTGCATGCCCATCCAGCGCACAAGGGCCTTGATTGAAGAACGTGACCTTTCCTCCTCCCGTCCACCAGAGCCAGCATGCAAGTCACCATTCTCAGTCAGCTAGCGGCTAGATGCAGTGCGTGGTTGTCGTCATCTTCAGGATCCCTGATGTTGGATCCGGAGCCAGCTGAACAGCTTCTTGGATGAGATTGTACACAATCGTGCTCCGCCCCATGAGCCTTCCAGAGTTACTCGAGGACATGTAGATGCCGATTAAAATAATCCCGCGAATCTATACACTATCAGACACTGTAGACTGGAGGTATATAGTGTTTCGTGGTGTTTCGTTATAGTACAGAAAGTCTTAAATGGAAGACCCTTAGGAGCCCACGAAACGAAGGTCTAGGATGCTGCATGGTAGTGTTGTAGACCTTTCTCTGGGTAGTAATGCAGAGACCTCTGGAAGCTTCTTGTCACTCTCCCCATTGTAATCCCAGGGATGCACTTAACTCATGATAAGAAGGTGGGAGTTTCATCAAATGATGTTATTTGATGTTCTTTGAAGAAGGCGAATCATTTGTTCAATGGTAGGCGTTTGAGGGACACTCAAGACTCCCCAATTAAGTTCTCAGGTTGAGATGAGCCTGGACGTTTGTTTGCACAATGTACAAACACTCTTCAACCCTCACGCATGAGATTTCCTCCCTTGGACCATTGACACATCCACCAAACCCAAACAAAGCCTTAACAACTAAGCAAACATGCATAAATTAAGGAAGACTTTGTCCTTGCAACTGATTTTGGCCCAGCAGGTCAGCAGGTCTGGGGTATTTACCCTACTGAATGCCTGGACACTTTGGAATACTGTTTCCTCTCACCCCACACGCCCACCAAACCCAGACAAAGCGCTTGCCAAAACGACTGAAGTTGGAAAAACACTGCAAAAGGATCTAGAATAGTTGCCTGCCTGGAAAATCGGATAGGAGAGATCACGAGAGAGTAAAGGAGTAAAGTAAAATCCTTGGAGACGGGAGTTGACACACACTCATGGATATGCGTACTGACTTGATAGCGGTGCCACACGCC